AATTTATTAATTCAAGAGCACCTAGATAGATCCCTTCACTCTGAGATATTATATATTTTTGTTTACACAATATATACACTATTTTTATATTTGTCAATCTTGAATGTGAATTAACTATATGTAAGCTATGACGTACTTTATACCACTTACAGTGGTCTTTGAAAATCAATAAATTTTACTTTACTTTACTTTTCAATTTCACATATTTCACATTATCAATTAAGTTAAACTTCGTCAACAAGATTATTCTTATGACAATAAAGTATGGTCTCTCTCTCTCTCCCTTACTCATGAATTACTTGAGAAGTTATGAAGTGATGTAATATTGGGTGATCTCTTTTAAATATCAAATAATTCTGCTTTCCAGAACATATTTTCTATCGACTATTATACCACAGATAATACTGAAGTACCATTACATCTTTCGATTGATGAATGTATAATTTATTTTCATATCACTTCTATTATCTTCTATAAAATCTAGATTTATGATTCAATGCTCGCACTAAGTCTACGAGAATAAATCGATTCGATCACCTTGCATGTGAAATTACGGAACGTTGCGTTTTCCTTATCTATGATACATTTTTCACCAAGTCATGTTTACACGGATAAACATTTATCATACTTTACTTTTTCCTACATGATAACTGATTAAGTGATCAGACTAGTGAGAAAACTGAAACAAACATGCGAAGTTTGCATTAACGAGTCTGGAGTAATTTTTTGAACTTCAACCTGAAGTTATCGTTAGAAAATGATCTATGACCCTGAAATTGATATAGGATGAATGAAATGAATATCAATATGAATATTGATTATAATGAGTTCAACTGGATTATTATATACTGTCTGTAGGTTAATCGAGGAGGTGGTACATTCATTATATTCCAAATTTTTTGGGATTTTCTCTCCTCGTTTCGATGAAATAAAAATATGAATATTATGTCAATATTCTTGTAGTAAAGACAAATCAGATGATTTGCCCCGAAATGTCACTGCGTTTAAAGAATTTTCCTATCAGAGAGCCTAATAAAAAAATTCACTAGCTTGTCAGTGACAATTTGTATTGAAAAATTTTTGGAGAAGAGAAATATACAGGTATATATAAAAAAAATATCAAATTTTCACTTATCTTTGGACGTTTCGGGACCGATTCTGCTCCCGTTTTCAACATGAAGAGATTTCTGCAATTGCGAAGTCGTATAATATGCCAACGTCACCAAGTGTCATTGAAAACTCAAAAGCTTCAAGACATATTATACGACTTCGCAATTGAAAAAATCTCTTCATGTTGAAAATGGGAGCAGAATCGGTCCCGAAACGTCCAAAGATATAAGTGAAAACATGATATATCTTCTATATACCTTTATTTCTCTTCTCCAAAAATTTTTCAATACAAATTGTCACTGACAAGCTAGTGAATTTTTCTTTTAGGCTCTCTGATAGGAAAATGCTTTAAACGCAGTGACATTTTGGGGCAAATCATCTGATTTGTCCTTACTATACGTATATTGAAATAATATTCAATATTCATATTTTTATTTTATAGAAACGAGGAGAGAAAATCCCAAAAAATTTGGAATAATGAAATATCCTGGTTTTAATCCAAAATATTCTAAAGCGTTAGCAGTGTACCTACCAGCAAATCAAAGTACAGTCCACTATATCATATCGAACATAATCAAACGAACATTGAATGAAAATTTATCAATTCAAAAGCACCTAGATAGATCCCTCCATTCTAAGATATTATATATTTTCTTTTACATAATATATACACTTTTTTTATATTTGTCAATCTTAAATGTGAATTAACTATATGTAAGCTATGACGTACTTTATACCACGTACAGTGGTCTTTGAAAATCAATTGATTTTACTTTACTTTACTTTTCACTTTCACATATTTCACATTATCAATTAAGTTAAACTTCGTCAACAAGATTATTCTTATGACAATAAAGTATGGTCTCTCTCTCTCTCCCTTACTTATGAATTACTTGAGAAGTTATGAAGTGATGTGATATCGGGTGATCTCTTTTGAATATCAAATAATTCTGCTATCCAGAACATATTGTCTATCGACTATTATACCACAGATAATACTGAAGTACCATTACACCTTTCGATTGATGAATGTATAATTTATTTTCATATCACTTCTATTATCTTCTATAGAATCTAGATTTATGATTCAATGCTCGCACTAAGTCTACGAGAAGAAATCGATTCGATCACTTTTGCATGTGAAATTACGGAACGTTGCGTTTTCCTTATCTATGATACATTTTTCACCAAGTCATGTTTACGCGGATAAACATTTATCATACTTTACTTTTTCCTACATGATAATATCAGGTACTGATTGAGTGATCAGACTAGTGGGAAAACTGAAACAAACATGCGAAGTTTGCATTAACGAGTCTGGAGTAATTTTTTGAACTTCAACCTGAAATTATCGTTAGAAAATGATCTATGACCCTGAAATTGATATAGGATGAATGAAATGAATATCAATATGAATATTAATTATAATGAGTTCAACTGGATTATTATATACTGTCTGTAGGTTAATCGAGGAGGTGGTACATTCATTATTCCAAATTTTTTGGGATTTTCTCTCCTCGTTTCTATGAAATAAAAATATGAATATTATGTCAATATTCGTGTAGTAAAGACAAATCCTTCGATCATAAGTTCGTTGTTCGGAGGACAAATCAGATGATTTGCCAAAAATGTCACTGCGTTTAAAGAATTTTCCTATCAGAGAGCCTAATAGAAAAATTCACTAGCTTGTCAGTGACAATTTGCATTGAAAAAATGTTGGAGAAGAGAAATAAAGGTATATATAGAAAAAATATCAAATTTCCACTTATCTTTGGACGTTTCGGGATCGATTCTGCTCCCGTTTTCAACATGAAAAGACGACGAAGTCGTATAATATGACTTGAAGCTTTTCAGTTTTCAATGACAATTGGACAATTGCTGACGAATTTACCATTTTCATGTTCAGATTTCAGTAGTGAATACCATGTTCTGTCTATATCAACTGATCAAGAAGCAATGCTATTGACTCCGTTCAGAAGAATGCAAGCAGATTCCTTGATTTTTCTCCTCTGGTTGTTATCTCCTTTTCCAATGATTTTAATATTATTCCACTCTACCATATGTAGTCCGTCTTCAGTAAGGATATGTTCAGCTATAGTTTAGATTTATCGATGTTTCTTTTCTTCATATTGTACTTATATGTTCCTTCGTCCTTACCGAAAGAGGTCTCTTGGTTTCACCTGTATAAAACTTTCCACAAACACAAGGTATACTGTAAAAACAATTTTTTGACGATTGTTCTTCCATTGTATGCTCAGTATTGGCTCAGAAGCAACTGTGTGATGAGGATATCTTCATTTAGATTTTTCTGACTATTCAGTATTCAGAATACATCAATGATAAACACCAGATGATCAGAAATCAGTGGAACTGATGGTATTTTCTCTTTGGAATTCCAAATAAACATTGATGATGGCTAAAACTAGGTCGAAGCAAAGTCAAACTACCTAGTATAATACATGATTGAAATCATAATGAAAAATGTTCTCAGAATATGTCAACACCTGATCAGGAACGTATTTGGAAAATTAGTTGATGATGGAATATCACCACGATGAATCTCATCAGAAGTTGCCACGGAAAAGCATCTTCAGTTTTACTGTATCTTCAACAAAAACTTAGGAAAAAAATAGATCCTCCAAGAATTCCCTTTTTTCGATATCACTAAAATACAGAAGTGATTCAAGAAAAGAAAAGAAGAGGCCGTTGGTATTACCATCGGAATGCGCAATATGTTTTTCATTTAACAGAATATTTATCTCCTTAGTCCTCCTGTTTCCCCTGTGCTGGTGCAACCTTATCTTGGTCACACTGAATACGAATGAAGTGATATACAACACTTTCGACTTTGCTTGTTATGAAGATGAATTAGTGATTCACACGAGACCAACGAGACAAGACTTTCATAAAGTCTCGTCTCGTCTCGCCGATGGAATATGAAGTCTTGTCTCGAGTCTCGTCTCGCAGCCTCGAGTCTCGTCTTGTCTCGAGTCTCGTACGAGAGCCTCGCAAATGTGTCGCAATTTCGTCATGCATAATCTTGCCCCAGTCTAGTACGGGATATTTACCTTTGCCCACTTTCTAGGTATAAATTAGGAGTAGGAAGAGAAAATTACAACAAAAAAAACATTATTTATTGAAAAGTAGGTACCTAATTTGTACATACTCACATCATACATCTACACAAAAGAAAAAAAACAGCATTATACAGGGTGTCCATAAGTACTAGATCAAAAGAAGTGGGGTGGTAGGGAGGGGCATTTTGTAATCAAACTAACGGTATATGTTGTTATCAAACTGTTGATGGTTCAAAAGTTATTCAATTTTTTTGAAAAATGCGACCCATTTCAAAAAAATTAATAGCAGAAAGGCTGTTTTGAATAACCACATATGTTATACTATTCCGAAATCTGTATCAAATGAGCAACTTTTTTTCAATGATTGGTTATCTTTGTGGCGTAGTTTTCAAATCTGCCAGCGGCATTTGAAAATCGACTTGAATATTTCATTCGCTGACAAAACTCAAGGGGAACAGAATTTTTCTCAGGGGATTGATAAGGAGTAATACATGTCGTGAAATCATTTCTGGGGAGAGGTGCATCCATGTAGATGGAATTTGTGAAAGAAAAAATCACAAGTGTGACAGAGTTTTAGTGTTATTAATTTTTTTTATAGGAATGAAAAAAACATTATCAACTTTTGAACCATCAATAATTGAATAACCACATATACGGTTAGTTTGATTGGAAATGACCCCCCTACCACCCCACTTCTTCTGATCCATCACTTATGGGACACCCTGTATATTCGAAAGATATAAAAATGGAATGAAATGTTTTGTCTATCTGTTCAAAATAGTATGAATTCTTTCTTAGGATGTTGTATATTATGAATGAAATTCTCAAGTCAGCAGAAATATTGACCTGCGAGACTCTCGCACGAGACACGAGAAGTCCTGCACGAGACTCGAGACGAGACCACTAAAAGTCTTGTCTCGTCTTGTACGAGTCTCGTCTCGAGTCTTGTCTGTCTCGAAAACGAGACGAGACCATGCGAGACTCTCGAAAACGAGACTCTCGCGGGCACCACTAAGATGAATTCATCAAGAGTATTCCAAGAATGAATTCGTATTATAACAGACATCAAATGAGTAGTCTAGGATGCTCTAATATTTATTCAAATCATTTTCTGACATTCCATGATTGACATGTCCTTCCAACCCGTTGATTGTTGATATGCCATTTTTCTTGACTTCATGAATTGGCGTGATCTCCGTTTTGCCATTGTTTTTGTAGAACATATATCCCGCTGCAGCCAGGCCTGCTAGAGAAGCTAACAGTATCATCCAACTACTCACTCCTACTACTTTCTTCAATAGAAAGAGACTCTTGAGTTGACCTGTATATGTTTTGTTTAGTTCAACTCCCTGAAAATAATACATGAATGCTGAGCATTAGTTATGCTCCAAATTGTGAAATTTATTTCATTCATCAATTTCTTTGAATTTCAGAAAGGATTCCTTTGAAATATATACGGTTTTATGCTTTTAACCTTCAACTCTTCGCAAACATTTTCTAAATAATATAATTTGAAATGAGAGCGCTTTGAAAATTGAACTACGTAGTGAGGTTTATTTACATAAAAAAAGAGTAGATGAAGAACATAAATTCATTCATGGATCTCAACTCATCATCTACATTGTTAGTCCTTTCAACAGTTTCAGCAAAATTTTGTTATTGAGAAAAAGGACGTATCTTATGAATTCAATCTATTTTTCCATTTCTTGGATCGCACGAAAGAAAATTCATATGATGTTTAGAAAAGATCATTCCTAGGAAGGATATAAAAGAGGAGTAGGTGTTGGACTGTTTTTTGAACATTTGGAGGTTGAAACTTCTATAGACGAACCAGTATAGATTGCAAAAAAATGCATTCTTGTTGATATTCGAAGGAGGAATCAGAAATACCCTTAATGTTACTTATTTATGTGGATAAGAATGGACGATGAAATATTGTTACTTACTTCTTCAACCCAAAAAACTGGAAATGTCGTAGCTGTGAAGTTATTGAATAGCTCAACTTTTTGAACCGGTTCCAGAGGCATACTGAATTGTATTCGTTTTTTTGCATATAATGGACTGCCAGTGGTCTACAAAAAATTGAGAAATAATAGAATCTGATGAACAATATTTGAGATTCAACATGTATTGGTCTATCATTATGAAATATTGAACATGTTCTCATCCATATGGAACTATTGTATAGTGGGAAAAGCAGCGGAGTTGAAAGATACAGTTCAGATAAGTAATCCAAAATGTCAAATTGTATTTCCATCACCAGGGAAACATCAAGAATTGATTATGGTGAGTAATATAATAGCCTGGGAGCCAGCAACCGTTTAGAGTTAGTCATTTCACAAAAGCTGAAAATTCTTCCTGAGCTTTATTTGGGATAACTAGTAAGGGAATCAGCCTCCAGCTGGCACACTTCCGGGGGGTGTAGTTGCAGCAGCGTCCCAAACACGTAAAATTATAATAAAAAAAAACTGATATCACAAAAGCTGAAACTTTGTTAACATGTTGATTATCATACAAATAGATCAAAAAACGTATCCAGCCGAACTTATACTGGGGGATTATGCTCCAGCTTTTCACGTAAAGAAGTTAAAAATATGCGCTGAGTAAACTAATACCGCAAAAGCTGAAATTTGGTGAACAAATAGTTAAATCAATAACATAAACGATGAGAACATCCAGCTTTACATTGGGTGGGGGAAAAGTGCCCAGCTGATGCAGTGAAATGTGCTGCGCATGGATATCTCGGGCGCATCGTATCTTTGACTGCATCAGCTGGATACTTTGCCCTCACTAAAATGATGAGCTGGAGGTTTTTTTTGTTAACCCATTATTTCAACTATAGGTACACCAAATATCAGCTTTTGCGGTATCAGGTATCTATAGTTTTCTCAAACTCAGCGCACATGCATGCATTTATTTAATGATAAATACGTAGGTATTACATTTCTGATCTGAAGGAAGATAATTAAAAATAGGTTTACTATCAATTTTTTTTTCAGTATTCCTTCACAAAAAATATACTAACAATACAAATTAACAGACATAGTGAACTAGTGTGTGTAACAAAATCAGATATCAACAATGTTTTCAGATTTCGGATCCTTCGGATTCATCGTCGTCGTTCCCATCATCGCTTTCATGATCGCTGCAATTGATGCTGATCCACGAAATATCTTCGTTATCATCTGTAACCATATATTGTATATTAACTATATATTGAAATATATAGATGATATTAATATAAAAACATTCAGAGCAAAATCTTAATGCAAATCAGATTATGAATATCAAAAAAAGTTGACATGATATACAAGATTGCTATAAATATAGATTAAACCAAAGAGAAAATATTCAAAAAATTTCTGACCTGTAGGACTTGTTTGATCCTCATTGATAGTTATATCACCAAGTGAAGAGGGAAGCTGCTCACCTTCGAACCATTTGAAGTGAAATTTTCCCTCCTTCTCTTTCCAGCCAAAATCAGTCGGATGTAATGCCGTTGGAACCTGAAGATGAGCGTGTGCCCAAATATTTGCTATATATGTTGTACGCAGCAAATGTTGGTGCAGTTCAATTTTGCAGGGAGGCAGAGCTGATCCATCGATGTTATTCTTCGGTAACCGGAATATGTCATCGTTTTGTGATATATTGTAGGTTTTCAAAGATGTTTCAACTCGTGCTTCATTCACTTTGTTGATCTTTTTAAATCCATACATTCGACATACATATTCTTCTGTAGTGTTGAAGGTATTCTCCAACTCGTCATCAGGTGCGTTGCTTAGTTTGATAAAATGTTCTATATATATTTCTGAGCTGTGTAAAATTTTATAGGGCCGGTTTTTTCCTTTCTTGAAAAATGACGGGTTATAGTCGCAACCCGTCAGGGCATGAAAAGCCGGAAGCGCTGCGCTCAATTTAGGGCCTAACGTTTCATACAATTTACTAATGTTAATAAAGCGTTGATTATTACCAACTCCAGCTTCCATTGAGACTTTAACATTCGCGTTACTCAAGGCACTCATGTTAGAAAGCATTATAACGGCCACGTCAGTATCCGAGCATCTTATCGTGACATGTGCATCGTAATCTATTTGGCAGACGTGGAAAACGATCTTCGTATCTGCTTCTTCATGAGCTGGACATGTTGATGAAACATCGTGCGTCCTTTCTACGTGGCCATTATTTACTTTATATTTATAGCACTGATCATAATTGATAAAAATGGTTTTATTACCAATGAAAGGTGCTGCGGAATCAAGTGCCCAGTGCTGTATAATAAAATTCACTAACGCCTCTTTGAATTTAGCATTTTTCAAGTCATTACTGAAATCAGAAGAACGTATTTGATCTGCTCCCTTGATGTGGAATTGTGTGACTTGCATCCCTCTCAGAGAATGTTCACTATCTTTGATCGAAGGAAAAATATACCTATCAAAGGCGATTACTACAACTTCCGCATCATTCGAACAAAACATACTTAGAATTTTAGTGGATATGTTTCCGTAAGTAGCTGGAATTTCCCTCATCAAATGAAGCATAAAAAATCCATCGAACACCTTCACGTTAGTCTGCTTCGGAATATGCGGCTCAACCTGCTGCTCGAGTATTTTCAATAGAGCTGCCTTATTAGTTTTGCAGATGGTGCCGTCTATGTGACACATTGATAATGGCACCGGCGTTAGAGGATATATCAAAACTTTTTCTATATCTAGAGATTTCTTCAAGGATATGCATAAAAATTGACCGAACAAGTCACGTTGCATACGCAGTTCAACAACTTTTCCTGACACTGGAATTTTCTTTTTTTGCATATCATCTGTGAAATTAAGCACTTTATTTCTTTTTATGGGTTTTTCAAATCGATTTTCATCTTCTACACATTCTTTAATAAAATTATCTCGTTGTTCATTACCCATTATTTCGACATTAAGTAAGAATCTTTCGATATTTTCTTGTACCGTTTGGCCCGTCGAAATATTAAATAAATAATTTTTATCTAAATCAGCAGAAAATGGATCAATGTTTTGTTTAATATTATCAATGAAATTATGAACTTGTTGAGAATTCTTAGTGATTCTGCTCTTCTGCAAGTCGGCAGTGATATCCTGAACTTTTCTCAGCCCTGTCTGGTCCATCGTATGACTTATTATTGTCGATCTCAAAGTGTGACTTTTGCACCAACGCTGTCGAGCAGATATCGAATTTGTCATGTGACTCACACCTGTAAGTTTATTGGCAGCATCGGCATTTATTGTCTGCTCTAAAGTTAAATCGACTGGTTGTCTTGAGTTCGGTTTGTCAGTTCTCTTCACACCAAATGTTCCCATTTCAAGTTGCTTCTTCAATCCTGGATGAGTTTGATCAACTTTCAGCAAATTATCCTGGTATTTCACTAAGTATCTAGAGTAGTTTTGTTGATTGAAAGCGAAACACAAATTTGCTATTTTCGACAAGATAGATGTGAACAGTTGCAAATTTCCACTTCGTACACTTGCATTCAGTGTTAAGTAGTAATCAATAAAAGTAACGTACATCATGTAAAACTGTGGAGTTTTACCGAGGTCTCCTTGCAGTGTTTGCTGTTTGAATTGTTGGTATTTATCGAATAAATCCTGTAGGTTTCGTGGCAGTACTCGAGGTTGATCAGATCTTTCTTCTTTGAATTGAGTTAAATATATGTTCATGTCATCGCTACATTCAATATTTTCCCGGTTCAAAAATTCTTCAAAATGTATAATTTGCAGGGCTAATGATGCCATTGGATGCAGTCGTTTGCACCTGTTAAAATGTTTTCCTGCAATAAAACTGTTTACAGATCCGTTCGCCAGCATTTGCGCGTTGACCATAACTGTCGTAACACCACAGTTGTCAATAAATTTACCAACTGCTTCAAAATAAGACATCATTATGTGAAAGGATCCTACATGAATAAATAAGTTGTCGTAACGTGGTTTTTCGGTACACTGAATTTGAAGTGCAATTTTAGTTATGGCAAGATCATATGTTACTTGCATATACTTTTCGCCGCATTCTCTAGCGACCTGTTGACTCTGCTTCATAGTTTCTAAAACAACTGATTTGTCCGTCGGTGAGGCGTTTATGGTGGTTAAGTAGCAGAGCTTTTGCGTTGGAGCAGTGTCCTTGTAGATCAAGCTATTGAAACCAACCCACATCGGTGTTTCGGGTATTTGAAGGTAGTGGGAAAGCATGAACGCAAAATTAATTTGTTTTAACCATTCTGAACTGGAGTTTGATAAATTTGATGAAACATCTGATGCAGGCTGTAAACGTTCGTGAAGTTTTGGTCTCTTATTGTATGGTTCTAATTCGTGAGTAATTGTGTCGAAAGTCCGCCTCCGTTTATTACTCTTTTCGGAAGAGCCTGCTGTACTTCTTACAGCTCTTGTGTCCTCATCATCCTGCTCGATAGAATTATCAATATTTTGAAAAATTATACCCACAGTGTCGTGCAGTGTGTCATGTCCAGATGATGTATCAACGAATCGATCGAAATTATCGAATGCGACACCAGTGCATAGATTTCCTGAGCGAATGATGCCTTCAGGACAAATATCAGAACGAATGCTAGAAGTAAACGTGGCTTCAGTTTCGATACCCTCCAGACTTGTATAGCTACAGCAGTGGCCATATCGGTTGATAATATTAACAATCTTCTTGCTATTAGTTAAACTTTTCAGACTCAAACCAAGGCATATATGTTTCGAGGGTTTTATTCGTCCATTCGTCACTGCATATATGATATCCTCGGAAAAAGATTTTGCTAATCTATTTCCATTTTCGCCACGCTTACGTCGATAATTTGGCCCGCTAAGTAGATTTAAATAAAAATCAATCAAGCTCTGTGGAATATCACACTCTCCTCTAATCAAATCAGTTGAATTGAGCTGATCTGGCAATTGGCGTCGCTTAACATTTTGTATTTCCTGTCTTAAAATCAATGCTGCATGAAATAAAACTTCCTCTTTTTCGATCAGATCAAATTCTTTCTGTACTACAACGCCTTTGTAGGGTTTCACTAGTTTTTTATTATTGTGTGACACGACGGTTATTTTTTTTGAGAATGTAGCTAGAAGCCGATTTTCTAGATGGTATGGCTTCATCGTATACGCATCTGTGTTTGCCTCATGTCTTTCCAAATATTCTATAAATATTGCGTTCAGAAACGAGAGAAAATACGACTGGTTTTTGATGATGATATTTTCTGTAACAAATTCACATACTTCCCTATATGCCCGAGAATGAATATCGCGAGCTATATGCCATTGTGACTTTGGCTTCTCTTTACTTTTTTTCGATGAGACTGTATTTTCGTATTTTTTTCGACAAATAGCATGATAAAATATATATTTTTCTTCTATCGACAAATTATGCAATTTTTGAACGAATTGTATATCTTCCAAGTTCATAGCGATTTCCTGTATATTTGACAATGCCTCTGCCTTCTCTAATACATGCATTGGTTGCTCACGCCCTTGATGTTTTTTCCTATTCTTATCACAGAATAAACAAATAGGATTATGTGATACCTCTTGAGCAATGCCAGATACGTTAACATCGTCAACATTGGCCTCTTCGCCCGCAGCAACATGATCGTCTGTATCGACATGTTCGGGTTCAACATTGTCGTATTCAACATCAACCTCTCCTTCTCCTTGAACTGCAGCCTCTTCTCTACCCTCATCTTCACTATCACCTTCAGTTCCAACGGCATGCTCTTCTTCCATAGCACTATGGTGGATAAAAAAGAAATGTATAGTGAATCATGCATGTATGAAATAGAAAACCTCTTGGTTGGGTATTGGCCCTACAATTAGCCCAATATTTTCGATTCGTACTACTGGGGAAGATAAAAGCACTTACTCTATACTTCTTGAGGTTGAGGGTACCTGCTTATACGGATCATATCCTCTCTGTTTAGGCGGTAATGCAGTAAAACGGCTATGGCACTGACTGTGATACACTTGAAAAGTATTCGGCTCTTTCGGTAACACAACATTGGAGAAACTCAAACCAGCGTTTTTCCGAATTTTCAATATTGGTATGCACTTAGTTATCTTATTTGCATCAAAAAGATTCAATTTTCCGCCTTTTTTGGAGCAAAATACACAAAAGGGATGTATGTTGGACATTGTCGCAGCTTCGATTGGAATATGTCATTTAGACAAATTTGTACACATCAAATGAACGCCGTTTCCAAGAGATTAAAAAAATGATGAATTGAACTCTGATGCGATCACTGCACTCCCCTTGGCTAAATATATCAGATGATCACAATTTTTTTGCAGTTTCATTTTGAATTTATCTGTGTGGCCAAATTAGTCGGAACATAAATATTTTTTTCATTATGAATATACCACAAAATACTTCTGCTATTTTTGCAAGCATGTTTTTTCAGTGTAGGTAACAAATTTTGAGCCACCGAACATCAGAACATCTCTGATTCTGAGCAGAGGCGCCAAATTCTAGTAGGAGTTGGCCGAGAGAGGGCAGTGTCGGTTCACACCTGTCCATCAGCACATATTCGATGATAAATCTGTGGATTCTGCCAGCGCATTTGATGCATGTGGACAGCGCGCTGTGTTTAATGAGAGAAGTATAGATACCTGATACCGCAAAAGCTGATATTTGGTGTACCTATAGTTGAAATAATGGGTTAAACAAAAAAAAAATCCCGCTCATCATTTAGTGAGGGCAAAGTGTCCAGCTGATGCAGTCAAAGATACGATGCGCCCGAGATATCCATGCGCAGCGTATTTCACTGCATCAGCTGGGCACTTTTCCCCCACCCAATGTAAAGCTGGATGTTCTCATCGTTTATGTTATTAATTTAACTATTTGTTCACCAAATTTCAGCTTTTGCGGTATTAGTTTACTCAGCGCATATTTTTAACTTCTTTACGTGAAAAGCTGGAGCATAATCCCCCAGTATAAGTTCGGCTGGATACGTTTTTTGATCTATTTGTATGATAATCAACATGTTAACAAAGTTTCAGCTTTTGTGATATCAGTTTTTTTTTATTATAATTTTACGTGTTTGGGACGCTGCTGCAACTACACCCCCCGGAAGTGCGCCAGCTGGAGGCCGATTTCCTTACTAGTGATACTAAATGAAGCTCAGAAAACATTTTCAGCTTTTGTGCTTTTGGTCATTGAAAAAGGTCGCTGGCTTCCGGGCTATAACACATGATGATGCATAGTACGTGCATCGTTGGTTGGGATTATTAACGTTGAAATAAAATTGTAAGAGGACAATGTGACACTTCAGTGAGAAATCAGAAATTTCTGAAGCACTTTATGAGTACTGGGATCCAGTAATTCTTAAAATAGAATATAATCCGTCGGCTTTGCCGTAATATACCGGGTGTCAACGAATCTATTAGATTAGTCAAACTTCTAGACCCTAATGTGTATCGAAATGAGATTTGGTATAGGTAAATAGTAGGTGATGAGGAGAGTTTCCACACATTTTTCACTTTCCGGTCACTTCCGGTTTCTACGGAAATGGCTCTGGTTCTAAATTTTCAAATGGAACACCCTGTATATTGTAACATTTTTGGATTTCTGATACAATTCTAGATCAGAATGTGACATTTTCGGAAGTTTTCATGCTCACATAATTTTTTCGGAGTCACTTTTGAAATTCCATTTAAAAATTTAAAACCGGAGCCATTTCCGGTGAAACCGGAAGGGACCAGATAGTGAGAAATATGTGAAAACTCTCCCCACATACCATTCACCTATACCAAATCTCATTTTGATACACCTAATGGTCTAGAAGTTATGACTTGTCTAACAGCGAGAAGATGTGCTGACTGTGCATGTCGAGTTCGTCTGATTTGTATTTTGAGTGATGGAATTATGATAGAGATTTCTGAAGATCATTTCTCGTGAAGGTATCTATAGAAAAGTGAATGGTCCCCGACTTTTTCACGGTTTTCTAATGGGATCAAAGAGTTAGTGATTGTGTGGAATTACCGACCAGGCGAATGGCTCTCCTTTGGATGAAATATAAGAGCATCAGCGTCTGTTCAAGTGCTGAACCCCATACATGGGGATAGTATTTTTAAACTGGCCGTATCTGTGCTTTGTAGTTCATGAGATGCTGTTCAGGTGAAAAAAAGATTTTCGCACGGAACAAGAATCCGAGTTTTTGTGAAGCAGCTTTTGCGATGAATCAGACAAGATGTTTCCATGAGAGAGTATCGCTGATAGGAATACAGAGCATAAAAATAGTGTTCTTCGTTCCGTACTACAGGAAAAAAAAAGCTTGAGTTTCGGTGGTGATGAGTTAAACTAGGTTGTTGGTTCCTCAGACTGTAATTTCAGATAGATATTCATTGACAGCGTTGGTCTGCCTTCATCGTGAGTTCTTTGTTTCCTGGGGAGAAATTGGAATTTTAGAAGAGAACGCAGTATGGGGAGTACTATATCGTCTGCAAAGCTGTGGATAGGGCAAGTGGTTGATCCCGATGGATCGTTAATATAAAGTAGGAATTTATTTCAATTTTCACGTGCTCACAAAATGTTCCATGGTTTTTATTCAGTAATTTTGAAACTAAAAATTGATCACACATCAAAATGTTGAATAATTTTTTCCATCTTCATCTCACGCAATAGAACAGTCATTATATTTAGTATTATGATAAGTTCTTGTTTTCTGTCCAATGAAACAACACTATTTCTTCGAAAATTTTCACGTAAGATGAGCCTTCGAACATTACAAGTAGATATCCCTTCAATCTCCTATGATCACAGATATTTAATTGGATACATATTCAAATTGCAAAATTTTCCACAAATGATACTAAGTGTGAAGATTGACCATAGTGAATAGGAATTGAAATGTTTCATTTTTTTCATTCTTCGTTCAATGATACGAAATTGGAGTACTTACTGACTCGAACAAAATCTTGATTTCGTGTTTAGTTTTATTTGGAGTTAATCCTTTCACTCCATTGGAATAACTCTGATCTGCTCCGTAGAAATGGGGCAGAGAAGCGTACAATGGAATACCTGTACATTTATAGAGGTCCATAATTCCCTTCTTCAGGCAGGAATCTATCGTTGGGCAATAGCACTTCTCGTCCTCATTTGAAGACATGTCACCAAAAGTTGCCGTGTATTCTCCACAAGGAATGCCGTCGTATTTAGCATCTTTCACAAAATATGCTCCAAGAGATCTGAAATATTGATGAAATAGATCCTTCATACTAAATAGTAATGAAGTGATGTTGTGAAGACTGTCTGAATAATCATACACGAATATATATAGGTATTGTTCTTCGGTAGAACTGAGAAAAACCTTAAGATAAGCTCACTTTATTAGTATATTTCGAGGTATTCTCCAAGAATCACCAGTGAGCTTGATTAGTTTCACACAGCAATTTTGCTCCATTGAACTTTTTGTTTGTCAAAGTATATCAAAAAGTTCTGAACCATAATTTTACATCCATTGATGAATGACCATCACAGGATCAATCGAAAACCTCCTTTTCGGATGTACACTGAATGTCAAATGATGGATCAAACCTGTACGATCATTATCGTACGTACAGGGTGATTGTTTATATATTACTCAATAGCTAAGAATCTCATTGTTTAATAAATACAAAACAATTGAGAGAATCGGAGTTGTTCATAGTCATATTGATTTTTTTAGGTATAATGTCTATATGACTTTGACATACATCATGAAGGTTCATGACTCTAATGATCAATCTATTTTCAGGGCATTATCCCTAGAATAGAACGTTTGGATCGTCTAGATATTGTCTGGTGCAAGTTCTAATACTTGAAGTAGGTACTTGCACCGTTCGAAAACATTGTGTATGTCAAGTGGGAAAGATTCTCAATAGTGACCATTGAAATAAATAACAATACATTATCACGACAATGAGGAAACTTCTGAGGAAAATATATAGTGAGAGTATGACATGCTAAAGAGCACATCGGCTTCGGCATAAAAGCGCATCAGAGTTAATTGATTCTTCACGAAGTAATTAGAAGTCGGCTTTCACTGAATGTTTCACTGTATAGAATCCAATTAATTGAGCAGCAGTTCAGTTTCCACAGAAACAACATGATTTACAATTCAATTGTGGATCAAAGGTAATAACAACATCAAATAACTCCCTAAATGAACTTTGTTTGAATATCGTTGGGTATTTATCGAGCCAACAAAATATCAGTAGAGCTGATACAGGTTTCATTATACAAGTATAACCACGTAGGATCACCTGGGTTCAGTACTGAACATTGTCGTTCAGCAGTTTAGCTGATGGAAATAATATAAGATGATGAAAATGGTGTGAGACTTGGAAATTATGTTCAACGAGAAAGGAGCTAACTCAAATTTGATTACTTTTACAATATCAACAGTAAAATAAACAGATCCACAGCATTTTCAAACATCCAGATTATCAATGATATTCTCAATTTCTGAAATATTTGTTGGAATAAAGAACATAGATAGAACACTTGAGCAAGCTTTCTCAGTGTCAGAAATTCTAGTAATTTTTGACGATAAGTCGTTAATCTTGGTAATTTTCATTGATAGTATATTACACAACGAGGCGGAAAGTGATTCATTCCCGTCGTGAGATTGGTTAGTTTACCGAGACGGAAAGCATCGAGGTTAGCTATGATTTCGAGACCGGAATGAAACTTCCTACCGAGGTTTGTATACTATTTCATTCACAACCATCATATTCCGATCAAAATTTATGAACCTATGTTTCTTTCTGAACATACCTGAATTATTACATGAGTGAGGTCGAGAAGTGAGAGCGGGAAGTATAAACGAATACTGATAAAAGTGATTCTTTCCTGAATGCCTATTGATTTCGATTGAGCCAGGCCGCTAGACAACCACAGACCGGTTTCGAGCTCTTTGACTCTCATCAGTGCAGTGAAGTCTCCAGCCAGCAGTCCTAAGACCGCCGACTCAGCGAAGCCTAGCCAAACAGAAATCAAGTTGGCATTATATTCACCCCGAGGCGTCTTTCATCGACAAAATGATGCATAGATTTCGGGAGGACGTAATTCAATATTTTGAGTGGCATAAGCCAGGGAAGTAGTTGTTTTTCACCCGAAATCTACCATTGTTGTTCATTTTATGAACACTGTGTGGAAATGACTTCGAGCTTTCTGCATTTATTTAACATTTCATTCTACTTTGAGCATTGTGGCTATTTCGTAGTTGAAATTACGCCAGTCGGGCTACCAGCCACTCCCGTATGGGAATTTCAGTTTTGGAGTGATTCTTTCCTCTGTTCTACTCAGATGGCGTTACTTTCATTTTGTCGATGAAAGACGCCTCGGAGTGAATATAATGCCAACTTGATTTTTGTTTGGCTAGGCTTCGTTGAGTCGGCGGTCCTAGGACTGCTGGCTGGAGACTACACTGCACTGATGAGAGCCAAAGAGCTCGAAACCGGTCTGTGGTTGTCTAGCGGCCTGGCTCAATCGAAATCAATAGGCATTCAGTATTCGTTTATACGAGTCGATGCATAGATTTCGGGAGGATGTAATTCAATATCCTGCGTGGCATTAGCCATGGGAGTAGTTGTTTTTCTCCCGTAAACCTACCATTGTTGTTCATTTTATGAACACTGTGTGGAAATGACCTTGAGCTTCTTGCATTTAATTAATAATTGAACGATTATGAGTTCAATCAACTGATGATGCAGTTGAAACTCTTTCTTTAAATTTGGTTAGGTAGTTCAAATTTGTATGCACATCAAAATTACAAGATGTATGTGAAAATGTGGTGGGTAATGATGCCTCTATCCTTTCTGCTGTTTGATATGATCATGATCTCAACGATCAATTTGTGTTATCTCCATACTAGAAACAATTCGTTCGTTATTTATTTTATCTTGAAATATTATCTGAAAGACGATTGAAGTAACAATCATCATAATGAAATATCGAAATATTTCACAATGACCACCTCTTGATGCCTGTTTGATGCCAATCAATGGTGAAATTGTTATGGATGAATCAACTATCCTGCACTAAATAACATTATAGTTTGCTTCAAACCTATTTCTCGTAATAATTCGATGCTTAACAATGATGATCAGTTGCATATTATACTTTATGCACTACTGTGCCGTAAAGAGCATTTTACCGCTTGGTTTTGCTGGCGTTAAGTTGTACTTTACCGCCCGCGAGCTCATCATGGCCCACGGGCCGTAATCTGCACTTTACTACCCGCTGTTCTCAGTTTCCTCACATCCACATATCAATTCATGTAAAACCAATCAGGTAGGTATATATACTCGATATGCATATTGTGAAATTCTGAAGAATGAATCTCTTCTAGAGATCGAAGAGTTTCACTATTACGATGATTGCAATATTCGCATAGGTGGTTTTTGGCCAATAATTATTTTGTGGGCACATTACTTTATTTCATTTCTTACTTTCATTACATAAATTCATAACGTGACCGTAAGCCGTTTTAACTAATTCTAACCTAACCCTTTTCACATTCCCTCTCTATTTCCTACTTTTCCCTCCAAAACTTGGGTGTGCCAAGCGTCCCTGTCATCCGTCAACAAACGACAATATGATCAGCGAGAAATTCATATATAAGCTTAAGGAGATCGACTAAAAACTTAAGGGGATACCTAAAAAATCCTACAATATTGATATGTGAACCATCCATGAATATTCTGCTTCTCTTGATTAATGAATTTATTCGTTAAAAATCAAATTCGGGGAATATTAGTTCATCGAAATCTATAGTCATTACTCCTGAGTCAGAAAATAAATAACAAGCGCATAAAATTATGTATGTATCACGTGCGTGAAATGCGTTTATGGCCTTCAGCGTGTGATGGCTCTCGGCTAGCGCCATCGGGCCATTATTCTTGTCACAGGCCATAAACGCCAACTCTACCCCCTTGATACATAGATAGCTATTATGCACGACCGGGCGTGAAGTAACACTTTAGCGCCTTGTGGTGATGAATAAGTACAGCGATCGTTGGAATAGGACCTAGGCGTGTTAATAAACCTATAACCTGGCAATATTTAACAGAAAATAATAATCTTCAACTATTCCCAAGAATCGACTATCCTACCATGGGAACGTTGATTCTATCAATGATATTTCTCACTGCAGACATGATGTATTTCTATTTTTCTCAATGAAAAATCAGTCGTGATTTGCATTCATAGACCTTGACGACCCAGGTAACCAGGTAACTCTCCACGATATCTATAAGTAGTTATCTTCAGGATAAAAATGCGAAATTTTCCTGCGAGGTACCAAAGATCAATATAGGCTGTCACCATAGAAAATACTCTCTGGAGTCGTCCAAAAGAAATCGCGGAGATCTCGCCACAGATTCGAAATATTTATAATTACTGCGAATTCCAAAGGTTATCTCTTACAGGAGAATAATGAGCATGTCTTCTTGAGAGAATCCAAGAATACCTCATAGACGTAACAAGAACGAGCATTTTCCATTCAGAGATCCTCCAAGTAAACACAAACATAACCTGAATAATCAATGTATATTTATACTGAAATATTCAGTTGGTTTTCATCAGTGGAAGTAAATATTCATTCGACCTTCATATACCAGGTGTCCCAGGTTATCGTATAGTAGCAATATTTCGCTTATTTGTCAAGATGATTGGAAAATTAAGAAAACCGCATTGCATGGCATTAAACAACATATATCCCTCATGAATTTTGAAAAATGTAATACATTTGACAGCCCCCTGGTAGCTCCTACTCACTTTTTATCATCTAGTAGCACATTGTCTTTGGAGATTGCATATCAATCTATTTGGAATCACTAGCACATACGTGGTGTTCTGTTATTGATAACAACAAAAAATCAACATTTTGTGACTTTTTTCACGTTATATAAATAAAAAATTGCCTTCACACATGTTTTCAAAAATTTCACAGATTAGAAGTATAAATTGATTTCTTGTTTGAAAGAAAAGATAATTGATATATATTTATCGAAAAATTTATGAAAAATATTCAATTTTTAAGTGTATAACATCGATCATTTGCAGGCGGTACCTAGTGTGATAAAAAATCTAGTTATATTTTGTGAACTTTTTACAGACATCAGCGGAAGCAATTTTTAATTGATGTATCGTGAATAAAGTCACACAATGTAAATGTGTTTTTTGTCATAGATGAACAAAATACACAGAATGTGCTATCGTTGTATCCCAAATTGACAGGCAATTTTCAATGACAATATACAGAGAGCGCCAATGAGTAAAAATTCAGGGGTAGCTACGAGTGGGCCGCTCCGATGCCATTCGGAGCAGCTTTTTTCGATTACATTGTCAGATAAGCGAGATATTGTTGCCAATATACGAAAGCTTGGAACACCCAGTATCAACCTAAAATGGAAGAACAAAATTTGCGAAATTTTGTTATATGAAGCCACTATAAATATCTATAATCCATAATAATAATTATTGTATACTAGATACTCAATTTCCTTGATTGTCTACTTTAGCACAATACACAAGGATGTTTCAATTCAGGTATATGTAAGATCGATAATCAAATTTCTACTTCGAATTCGTGGGTTATATACTCGGTTATATCAGACGACCTTTCTTTAATGAATACTCGGCCAATGAGTGAACATGTTTACTTCTTCATCGATGTCTTGCTATAGAATGCATTAGGTTATTAGATTTGAGAAGAAATACAGGCGTATATAATTGAAAATATCGTCCAAAATAGCTCCTGTTTACGGTACTATAATAGCCTACTGGCATTTTGTCATACACTAATTAGGGCAAAGTATACATACAACGTTTACAACGTAACTTTTGTGATTTCACATTCGACAGTGCTAGTTAGACTTCGTCGACAGGCGACTGCTGATATCCAATGACCCCCAAGAATTTAAAACCCCACCATATCAGTGGCGATCTTCTCGCGATTGATGCGAATATCGCTCATGAAGTCCTCGTTATAAGTGGATGTGATCGGATTCTTGATCAACACTCATAGTTACGAATAATTGAATAGTGCGCCATTGTTGCGAGCCCTCAAGAACCCCGCCAGTAGCAACCCTAACAACACGAGTACGTCCCAGGGACGTCCTTCATTTTCTACGAGGACGTCCCTGGGATATCCTGTGTCGGAACATGGTACATACTAGGGACGTCCCAGGGACATCCGCTTTCCACAAAAAGAGGCATCCTAGGGATGTCCTTCTGGTACGCCCCTGAGATGTGCCAAGTACGAAGAAAGCATATCCCTAGGACGTCTCAAGGATATCCCAATGACTTCCCTTCGACAAAAGAAAAAAAAATTTAGGTCGAGTAGGGGTTGAACCCGAGACCTTTGGCTTATCAGGCACGCATCTTACTCCATTGGATATTGAGCCTCCTGAAGATTTATGTACTAAACAGATTTATAAACAGGACTTAACTACAGAAACCTGAATAAATACAACTTCGTTAGGATTTTGGTATAATTATTATCATTCTTGGGTGTTTAAAAATGGGGGGCATTATGCATGTACGATTTCTGTTTGCGAAAAATGGTCATTTCTCAAGAAGTACGGGACGTACCTAAGACATCCCTGTGTTGTTAGGGAATTGATGCTAAATTCTCAATGTCCTCGTCACAAGGTTATGTTTGCGAATATCTCGAACAGCTCGAAGACGCGAGCACTTTGAGACCTCGCAAGTGGCGATTGATGCGAATATCTCAAAGTGCTCGCCTGAGGGTATTGTTTGAGAATTTCTGCGTGGGATATCTTTAAGACATCGCTGAGCACATCCTGGGCAGTGGACATTTGGAGGAGACTTAGCGCTCTCGGCGATCTCTTGAAGATGTTACAAAATGCATCTCAATTTCTTAGGACGATACCTTCGAGATATCCTTAGGACCTATTGCACTGCCAGGGGTGTTAATAGCCCTCGCTATAGCTCGGATTCTTACTTACACGCTATGCTACGCTCCATAGATGCCTATTTTACGCCCTTTATATGAATAAATATTATAGTGATGCTCAATTTATTGTGTTGAGTACATACCTGCATAGATCTGGAGAATATGACATGAGTCCCTGTTCTTTCTCAAGAAATGGTGGAAATATGGTTCCATCCGTACCCTTTATTTCATTACATTTTTCTGTTGACCAAATGTCTAGTTTAGATGATCCGGCATATTCTACGATTCTGCCAACATCCTGATATATCTTTGTTCCTCTGTAAGCTTTGATTCGTGGTTGTAACGTAGCATTTTTCTGAAATTGAAGAAAATATTTCATTCATGTGATGTTCTTGACCATTGAAATTCCGGTAAAACAGGACATTGGAAAAAAACAACATTCTCTTATTTTGAATTGAGTAACCACTGTTAATTTTTTGATTTTTCGGGATTTTCTCTGCAGATTAGAATATGAGATTTATTTCAATATTTATGTAGTGAGAAAAACCCTCTAAAAAATTGGAAAGCCTGAGAGAGAAATTCAATCGATAGATGATTAGAGAGACTGTGCATGACTAAATTGGTAATTATGAAATTTCACTCATCATTGGACGTATGAGAAACAAATCCCCTGCTGTTTTGAATAATCCTTGGAATCGATATTCCTGCTTTTATGTTTCGACACTTGTCAGTGACAGTAGTTGTATGATAATTGCGTGAGTTACCAATTTTCAAATAACTGTATCTTCGGAACCATTAGCTGTATGGGGCTCATCTCTGTCTCAAATTATAGCAAATTTAGTTTGACTCAAAAGTATGAATGTTGACGATACCGGTCAAACCCTTTCTTCTCTAAGATATTGAGAAAAAACTGAGAGAAAAGTCCGGAAATTTCATTCATTTCAATTTGTGGTCTTGGGTATACCGCCGCTCGCACAGCAGTTCCTAACAACATAATTATACCGGGTGACACAGGGTATCGGGCCACCCCTGTAACTTCTGCATTCGTCAACGGATTTTTCTGAAATTCGGTACAGTTATATAAGCAATTATTTCGGATTTGATCACATTACAATCCAATATGGCGGACTTCCGGTATTTCTGGAAATGCCAGCAACTTTGTTTTTTCAAATGAAACACCCTGTATATTTTTACATATTCAAGATCAACAGGTCGAAACAAGTGCAATCCCTATTTCAAATGTAATTTTTTCTGAAAAATTTGAATCAAAATTGTTTTTTCATCTTACCTCGTGGATAAATGAGATGTGGTCAAGACTATTCACAATGAGTCACACATAACAGATGAACAAAATTTTTTCTAAAAAATTATTTTTTGTGTCACTTATCCAGGAATCAATTCAGCCACATCACTTTTTGATAAAAAATTTTTTTTTTTCAAATGGAACCCCTATGGGCCACTTACCCGTCTCTCTAGAACATACATTAAGGAACAAAATGACATACCATTTCTGTTTTTCGGTGCAGCAACAAATTGTATACATTCAGAAATCAACAACTAGTTTATGAATTTCCTTGCAGTTAGAATAATTTTTCAACTAGGTAGGCTGTGGAATAAATGACATTTGACATCAAGATTGCACTTGTTTTGACCTGTTGAACTTGAATATGTAAAAATATACAGGGTGTTTCATTTGAAAAAACAAAATTGCTGGCATTTCCAGAAAAACCGGAAGTCCGCCATATTGGATTGTCATGTGATCAAATCCGATATAGTTGCTTGTATAACTGTACCGAATTTCAGAATAATCCGTTGACGAATGCAGAAGTTACAGGGGTGGCCCGATAACCTGTGTCACCCGGTATAGAATCTAGAACGACTGGACCTTTTGCAAGCACGACTCCTTTTTCATGTTTATCTTTACTGAACAATGAGACCAAACCTATTTCGAACAAAACCAAGAAATGAAGAACAGTCATCGGAAAAGTAACTACATATGTGGACCTTGTGTTCGTGAAAAGTATCATATACGTGGAGCAGAGAGTCTTTCCTCAACATATTTTTTTAATCGCTTGGAGCGCACGAAAGGAAATCCCTACAATGTTCAAAGAACATCGTGCGTTCCTAGGGAGGATAGGGACAGGAGGTAGGTATTAGACTTCTTTTTGAACTTCTGAAGATTAAATGTTGTTGGGAATACTTCCTCAGGCAATGAATTCCAGAACCTAGTCGTTCTATGGATGAAAGAGTTTTGATTAAGTGCTGTTCGACATCTTTCGAGGTTGACAACGAGAGGATGTGCTATCAAAATAACATGTGAAAACTCCACAAACGATAAGATGTGGAAATCTTATCGTTTGCGAAGTTTTCACAGTTGCCATGGATTTCCATCAGCAAGTAACGACCGAGTCAATTCAAAGAATATAAAAACTATAATATCCCTACTGAACATTGAAAAAGTCAGAAAAATCGTAAAATCCGCTTGCGTGCTTCTTGCAAAGTTGAAAGAATTATGCTGCTGGAATGAAGGAATAGTCATTCATTATACAAGGAAACAAAGTATCAGATTTTGCTCTAGGTTGTGTTTTCCCGACGCGTAGCGGAGGGAGACAAAAAACCGTGAGCAAGAATGTAATGTTTCTTCTGTGTATAATACACTATTTTTTTCTGTGACAGAAGAAAGGAGGAATCGATATTGGGAAGATATTACATAATATTGTAACCAGAAGATTATCGACGTGAAATTTGAATTGTTCAACAGGAATCAGGCATCTTTTTGCAGACATATTCATCATTCTCATGGAGAAATCAAATATCTGTCAGTCTAATTCTGTGATTCGATTTCAAATAAATGCGAATTTAGTGGTTATGTGTTTCAACAGGAATGGAATTGCAAACATTTTTCCGTCACAGAAAAAATAACATTCTTCATGTTCTGATCTGTATAGAACATGATGAATAATGATGGTAATTCACTTTTCAGATATAATATGGATATAATCATTCCAAGATTCTTTCACGTTTTTGATAGTGAATGCTGAGACATTCCTGCGCTATCATTTGTCATCACTTTACCCAAATACATTTTTGAATAATATCCATACTTCCATTCGAAGATACGATGAGAAAAATCCCATGAATTCTAGTTATATCAGTATATTCCACTTTCTTGATCAACATTATTCAGACATTATTCAACTGCTGTTTATTTCAGGAAATTCATGTCCATGAATATAGAGAAAAACGTCTACTATACCAGATGAATACGATATCAATTGACAGGGCGTTATTCAGTTGTTTTACATGTTTTAAATTCCCCATCTCATTTCGTATGATATGAATTTTCACGATACTTGTAGTACCGTGAATATCTATTACTCACTCTTGCTTGCATGTTTCCGAATACCAAATATATGACTCGCTCCCATTGAATGCTCCAATAAAATCGAGATTCTCTATGGAATTGATTGTCAGATACAGATTCAATATATAGATGAAATGAAAATTTGGGGAACTTTTCGATTCATGATCCACTTATCGCTTCCAATGTCTTCAGTTAATATTTTCTCAGCATTTAGAGTGTCAAAATACCTGTATAGAAACGTTCCTTCTCAGATGGCGAATGATTTTAAAAAAATCGATAATTATCTTATCGATTTTACTGTACGTCATAATTATGGAAGACATGCAATGATACACGTTAACTCCAGGAACTGTGGATCATTAATTAATTATATCATCAACCTTCACAATACTAGAATGCCTATTTGAACAATTATTCAAGAGCAATTCAATACTATACAGCGAAATAAAAGAAACGAAATTCGAAAAAATCACTCCATTAGAGATGGAACATCTCCATCAACGTGACTTGGAAATAGTATATCACACACCGACGTTGGAAGTTTTTCAATCCTGTCGTGAGATTAGTTAGTTAACCGAAACGCAAAGCGTCGAATTTAGCTACGATCTCCTACCGAGGTTTGTATACTAATTTATTAACAATCATTATATTTCGATTAAAATTGATAAATCTATGTTCCGTTCTGAACATACATGAATTATCACATGAGTGAGGGCGGGAAGTGAGGGGCGGGAATTAGAGGTGTGTCATGTGGCACTTTCCAACCTTCAATGACATTAGTAATGACAACATTACATATATGAATCTCTGGTAGTAGTCCATGCTCAAATTGGAGGTGATGAGATAATTAAGAGAACTATCTCAAAGTCTCGCTCCAAGTTTCGACTCCTGGGAGTCAGTCATCATCAGGCTAAAATACAAAACTTATGAATAGAAGAAGTTCCATCACTATTGGAAAATGGGTGACATACCTTGCTAGGTAGGAGGAGAAAGGAAACTATAAAATTGACGACATAGTTCGTAAGGGTTTTAGGCCCCAAATGATTTTAAAAAACATTTTTGAATTTTGGTTTTATGACCCCCAAATAAACATTTTTCCTAAGATGCTTCTTTTTGGATCAAATGAACATAGTGTACAGCGAATGGCGCGAGTATGAAGTAAACAAACCGATAGACTACTTGATTTGAAAGATGAAAATGGTAGATAAAAATTATTTTTTGACAAACAAGTGACAAATGTCATCTATCAAAAACACAGAACATTGAAGTTGACTTAATGGACCATACATCAAAGTTCATAACAAACAAGAAAATGTGTCTAGATTGACTAAGTCGGGTATTTTAAATTGTGTTATCTGAATTAGGAATAACAACGTCAAACAAAAGGATTGCCAATGCAAAGAGGAAGATTACAAAATGGAATTGAAAGTGGATAGGCAATTAAATCTTACTTGTTCATTAAGACAAACAGTTGAATTTGAATGAGCAGATCTATTGATTTCTAAAATTTCCAGAAGGTTAAGCTATTTTTCTTAAGGATGAACATGTAGGACTTCAAAATCTTCTACTATATTATGTTTGTGTTTATTCTCGAGAACATGGTTTGCGAAAGTAGATGTACAGTTGATAATATCAGAGTTAATATATTTGTCAATTGTCTTTTTATGTTCTGCTATCCTGGTGGAAAAAGCTCTCCCTGTCTGACCAACGTATTCTGCATTGCAATCAGAGCATTTCATCTTGTAAACGCCTGACTTAGAATGTACAGGGTTTTTATCTTTGTTATTTACAAAACTGGAACCTAAACTATTATTGGTTTTAAAAGATAAAGAAATGTTATGTCGTGCAAAGATTTTTGAAAATTTGAGGGAATGTGGGCCAAAATAGGACATAGATCTGTATATCCTGTTGGATTTTTCGATTGATGGCAGAAGGTTCCTGTTAATTAATTTTGATTGGTATTTATAAAAAAGTCTGTTTATTAAATTTAGTGGAAAACCGTGCAATTTGTTTCATTATGTTGAGTTCATTATTAAAAGAACTTACTGAAAGAGAAAAATTGAAGAGTCTATGAAACATACTATGAAAACTAGCAATTTTCTGTTGATAGGGGTGATTGTTGCTGAACGGTATAGCTGTGTCTCTATGGGTGGGCTTTCTGTAAATGTCGAAAGTGAGGTTGTTGTGAGTTCTATCAATCTTCAAGTCCAAAAAGGGGATGGAACCGTTATCTTCAACTTCCATGGTGAATTTGATATTGGGGTGTAGATTGTTGAGAAAAAGCAAGAAATCATTAAGCATAGTACCATCGCCATCAAACAAAACTATAGAATCATCAACGTATATGTAATAGAAATTAATTATTTTGAAAAATTGGGTTCTTGTGAAATTCTTTTCCTAGATTGCTTATGAAAATATCGGCACGTAGGGGGGATGAATAACAACCCATAGCTAGACCTTTTGTTTGACTATACATTTTGTCATTGAACTTGAAAAAATCCTGTTCAAGGACAATGCTAAGTAATGTGCAAAAATTGAGTGTATGTTGAGTAAGAATGCCACTTTGAAGTAAAATGTCCCTCACTAGTAGGATACATTGGTCTGGTGGGATGCTAGTAAAAAGATTTGAGACATATATATATGGTTGTAAATAAAAATACTTACTGGCCCTAAGAGGGAAAACGAGAGCTCCTCATCACTGATTTGTTTAATCGTATTAGATGCCTTCAATTGTGAACACATGGCTTTGCCCGCAAAGTCGCTCACGTTACAGTTGATGCTGATACCATCAAAAAGGATGTTATCAGCTGTAGTAGTCAGAAATATCGAAGTGGGGTTGGCATAGATGGATTTCATTGCTTTGTTGACCAACGATAATGCTCCTGGTTTCTGCCTCATCACAGTATTGACAACACCCTGCAAGTGGGATTATTGATGTTATTATGACCATTTCACTCATCCTTGAAGTCTCACATAATGAAATCATCTGAAAGAAAACTTGTATTATCGCGAAAACACCTAAGGTATAATAACAAGTGGAATAAACTCCAGTTGAAAGAATACAGTGCGTTATATTTTTGACTAAACTCGTCGAAGATATGTTTTTTCAGGTTTCATTTTATGTAGACATGTCATATCAGATGATATGGTTAAGAACGAAGTGACGAAGTGATGATTTCAATTCTCCTAAAATTCCAGTAATAAACTTCAGTTACTTAGAAGTGAAAACTTCTGTCGTGGAAATATAATGCACCATATTCAACTAAACCCATCGAGGGTGAGACTGAAATGACGTTGGATTTCAGATAACAAATTTGTTATTAGATGTTTCTCACATTGAGTAAGAAAATCCAATAATACCTGAGTGTCATGTTTCATTTGACATCGACGCAAAGTAGATTGGAGAGTTTATCTCCTCATCATATTTAAAGGAACTCCAGTTTATGAAATTTTCTTATCAAATCTTCACCGGAGCAGAATAAATCCCCGATATTTTCTTCTTATCATTATTTTATCCTCAGATTATGATAACTCGATACATTATATATATACAGGGTCTCCCAGAACAACGTACATTCGATTAAATAGGGTGAACTAGAGTTCGAAATAGGTCGATTGGAAAAAACTTACCTCTGTACGGAAATGCACCGTCGGGCCGTGAGAGGGCGATGAATGGAATTTTTTCTTCCAGATTCTGTTGAATATTTCAAAATCCTGAGAGGTGAAATCCATAGAACTTTCTTTGAGTATACGTCACTGACAATATTTTGATATCTACTTGAATAACAGTATCAATTATCTATCTTTTTTGTCACTACATTTCTTTCTAAATTTTGTTTGGTTCACGGGATATCTGAAAAATTTCTTTCGGAGCCCCTCCATATCATCCATATAGTCCAAGATATCAGAGTTATCGTGTTCTGCAGGTTCCTTCCTCCTTCATGTTGATATTTTGGTCACGTATTCATGTTAATCATTTAATAACCTTCTCATCATACAGGATGGCCCATTTTCAATTTGACAGGGAGATTTTGGGTGATAATAGCGTAGATACGAAAAAATGCTCAGATCGGTCGATTTCAGTTTGCACCGCCTGCTAACAATCAGAGTCGTTTGCAGGTTTATTTCGTTCTGTTTAGAGTTCGGGGCACATATATCATATTCATTTTAGCAAGCTCTTTATCTGATGAGTTCATCAAAACAATAATAGAAAAATAAACTGGATCACAGAGACAAAGAATGATTATGATAATAATAAATAATAATAGGAATAATAGTAATTTTTTGTTCAACCTTCCTCGAATCAAAATCACTACACAAATTCAATACAGAAGGTATCCAAAATAGTTGCTCCTCCTCCTCCTATTTGTATTAAATTCACACATATGGGTTGTGGGGGATTCTAATATAAATTTCAATCAACAAAGTGGTGAGTGCGCTGATATTATCAACATTATGTCACAATTTGGTCTGCATGAGATTGTCCTTACCAATACAAGAACAACAAGTACTAGTAGTACCGAAATCGATAATATAATAATAATAATAATAATAATAATAATAATAATAATAATAATAATAATAATAATAATAATAATAATAATAAAGCCAGTATATTCAATAGCTGGCTAAATGGGGAGCAGCAAATCCCTGAGTGGTTTATCGAGGGGCGAACCGTGCTTCTCCCTAAAACTGGAGATTTGTCCAATCCGAAGAATTACAGGCCAATTACCTGCCTGAATGCATGTTACAAGTTGTTCACACGCATCTTGTACATGCGAGTACTCCTAGTAGTTGACCCGGTTTACCAGCGGATTTTTGAGCAGCGTGGGTCGAAGAGAGGTGTCGCTGGCTGCAAGGAGAACCTGTTGATAGATAGAGCTATCACACAGGACTCCGTGCAGTACAAGCGGAATCTTTCTGTGGCCTGGATCGATTACCGAAAGGCATTTGACACAACGTCACATGAGTTACTCGTGTACTTGCTCAAGTGTCTTTCGGTACCCGATTCTATAGTGAGATGCATAGAACAACTGATGCTGGTCTGGAAGACCCGCTTTACCATAACATCAGGTGAAGCGAGAGTCCAAACAGAGCCAGTCATCATAAGGAGAGGAGTATTTCAAGGGGACTCCCTCAGCCCTCTCCTATTCTGCATCTCACTTCTGCCACTATCCGTTGAGCTCAGGAAAACCAGGGGATACAACTGCGGCCCACCCAGTTACCGGAGGCATAAGGTCACCCACTTATTCTATGTGGATGACCTCAAACTTTATGCCTCTGGTGAGAGGGATATGGACCAATCCCTCAGGGTGGTGCAGGAGTACACGCAGGCAATTGGAATGGAATTCGGGATGGACAAATGTGCACTGGTTCATCTCAAGAGAGGACGATGCGAGAACTACGACAAGGACGCGCAGCTCGTGGACGGAAGCATCCTACGCCACCTGGATGCCGGAGAGACGTACACCTACCTGGGTGTAGAGGAAACTCACATCCAGGAGGCACAACGGGTAAAAGACGCTCTCCGCAGCAAGTATCGGCAGCGGCTCCGACAGATCTGGTCGTCAGAACTGTCGGGGAAGAACAAAGTCGCTGCGACTAACATGCTTGCTGTTCCGATCCTACTTTACTCATTTGGAGTGATAAAGTGGACTCAAGTCGAGCTGCGACAACTTGACGTAAGTACTCGCAAGATGATGCATCTCCATAGGAGTCTGCATCCAAATTCGTCCGTTCCACGGTTATACATACCTAGAGACCAGGGTGGCCGTGGACTCTTGAGCTTGGAGTATCTCCATAACAGAATGGTTCTGGATGGCGCCTGCAAAGTCATCAGGAGTTCGGACCCCCTTCTGCAAATGGTTAAAACCCATGAAGATGCAGGAGTAGGAGCTTTTCTTTTTAGGGCAGCACGTCGAGCAGCCGATGAATTGTCTCTGATTTTCGACTCCGAGCGCGAGGCTCAGGACTCAGTTACTGAGCTAGAACCCGCTCGGAGAAAAGCCCGCATCAAAGCTGCAGAAGTGAAAAAGCTCCTGCAGCTTCACATGGATAAGCCCATGCATTCGGTCTACTTCAAGACCATTGAAGACCGGGGCTTATCCAAAGAACTGACTTTCGCTTTTCTCAAGTCAGGCGGGCTTAAATCGGAAACAGAGGGGTTCATCATGGCATGCCAGGATGGGGTTTTCAACACTCTCGTCTACCGTAGCCGTGTCATGGGTATGGAGGTCCCTGACACAAATTGCAGGGCCTGCCGCAGGGCGCCCGAGACAATTATGCACCTGCTGTCTTCTTGCACGGTGTATGCAGTCTCGGCCTATATCCATAGACACAATGCGGCATTGCGAGTGCTCTATTATCACTTGAGGCACTCGTACGGAATAGACGAGACCCCAGTGCTGCCCTATGCTCCGGGGGATATTGAGTCCGTTGTGGAGAATGAGAGGTGCCGAATTTATTGGAACTTCTCATTCCCCACCCTCAGGCAAATACAAGCTAACAAGCCTGATGTAGTCCTCCTCGACCATCAAACCAAAGCGATGTTCGTGATCGAGTTTTCGGCGCCAGCCGAACCGAACATCGTTTTGAAGGAGGAGGAGAAACGGACTAAATATCGAGATCTTCTCTTCGAACTCCGCCGGCTCTATCCAGACCATTCTGTGGAATTGGTCATCCTGATTATCGGCTCCCTAGGAGGCACACGACACACGCTACTCTCGGAGATCCAGAAAATCCCAGCGTGCCGTGATAAGGCACACATCCTGGCTGGTGGTATGCAGAAGGCCGTCATACTTGGATCATTGCGTCTACTCAGGGCACATGGTACTTGGTCTCAGTGATTACTCACCTCACAGGCTGTGAGGAGTAGTCACTGGATTTTATCCAGCACGACTCTGCGTGACGTCGGAGGCCGCAGGGTCGTGACTGGAATTACATGAACTTAAATGAATAATAATAATAATAATAATAATAATAATAATAATAATAATGATAATGTCTTTATTCAATAAAGAAAAGGCGGAATTCAGTCACCTCTTTCCAAGGAGAAAGGCAACTGCTCTTCCATTCAACCTGGGAAAACGGCAACATATAGGTTTACAAGTTAGAGTGAACTAAAATATGATTCAATCTAAATATCGTACTACAACATAGCTAGCACATTTCGAGGTAGCATGACAGTGAGAAAATCATATACATTGATTATTCATCTACATCAGAAGATCATACAATTAAAAAAAAAAGAGTTCTGACCTATAAGATAATGAAACAAAATACAGCTAATAGATACTAATAGAATGAAGTACATATTATGAATTGGTTTATTAGGATAAGGTCCAAATGACTTGCGGGATGATATCGAAGGAGGAAATCGAAGGGCAGATACATCTATTGATATGGTTCAATATTATTATGTGATTACTACTTGGTGAGAGGACGACTCAACACCTATATAGAAAAGTGAATTTACCTTCTAAAATGTATTTTCTCAGTTCTGATTTGAAAAGACGCAAATTCATGGTCTTCAGTGATACAGGAAGAGCATTATATATTTTTGTGATCGTGAAGGAGAAAGATCGTTCATAAAGGGCAGTATTATGCATCGGTGGAGTAAGAAGGAAACGCGATCTGGTGTTGATGAAGTGAACCATTTGCCTGAAAACAATTTTATCAAACAAATATGAGGGAGTTTTGCTGAGAATTACTCTATGATAAAAATAGCTGGTCTGCAGAAGCCATCTTTGATGCATGGATAGCCAATTACTGTCGGTGATTTTCTGTGAAATGGGACTGCGCCTCCTAACACCATAAATTAATCTCGCGCATGCATTTTGGACTTGCTGAATACGATTTTGATCTTATTTTGTCAAACAGGGGTAATAAACAAGGCTTGCATAATTGAAATTACTCAA